GCTGAACCTGGGGATTGATTGTAAATGCTAAAAAAAAATTACATGATGTTCTGAGTTGTGTATCTATTTTACTGGAATGGGATGGTGCCCAGAATTTGTCGTCTGGTATTTGAAAAAAAAAAAAAATCAGTACCCTGTATGTAATGGTAGGTTAAGAGATTTTCAGCAACTTGGACTCTGGATGTTTTCAAAGTACTTGCAAGGTAATTTAGGCTTGCTCTGCAACGTGATTATTTGCTTCCTGTATGTTTTATTTGCTTTCCTATTTCCAAATAAAATTACATACTGTGAATTAAAGCTATGTCAATTAAGTTAGCTGTGTTGGTGGAATGTGGTATTCTTTAACGTCATCTTCTAAGTAACTTTAGAAAGTATGTACTATAGACCATGTGTTACTGGTAGGTTTGACGTAATCTTCTTGCAGAGTTCTGCTCATCTTAGCCCCATTGTCCGCTTTCTCTACTATAAAAACTAATTCTGTATTTCTCCCTTCCTCCCCTCCCCCGCCCCCTTCTCCAATTGAAAAGGGTATTGCTAACAAGAAAGGCAGTGAAATACTCTAATAACTGTGGGCTGGATATTTCAAAGCATTTATATAAGTAAATGTCTCCTCTGTGAGTAACAGCAACTGGTATGTTACACCTCGGTGCCAAAAGTATGCACTGAGCAGCTGCTGGAGACATTTAGTGATTTCTTGGAAAACTATAACCTGAAAACCATCAGTGCAACTGATGTAATGCCTGGCTGAAGAGCTTTTGGCTTTGAATTGCAATTAGTAATTTGTATTTAGTAATTCGTAATTAGCAATTACTAATTTTATTAGTTTGCCATTTTTTAATGTTATAAGGGAAGCAGGGGAACAGTATCCATAGAGATAAGCAAGCATTACACTTTAATATCAACAGTTTTATAAGGAGAAATGTTAAGTGTTTAATTTATGAATTTAAGATTGTAAAACAGGAAACAATGTTACTATATCTTTAAAATGAACAATCCTTCTATTCACGTAGGATTTAAAAATTGTTGATCTCATGGCTATGAACTTCTGTACACTGCAATGCTTGTGACTTACAGAACTGCAGCTTTAAAGTTAATGGGTGTTCTAGGTATTATTCTTGCTATATATGACGTGAACTTTGGTAATTGCCTAAAAATTTTGTGTTCTTAGGGTTATGATAAACTGTAGTAGAAAATGTGAAGAAGAGGGACACGCCTTCTGCCTCTGTTCTGAATATCTTTGTTCTATGTGCATTATCTCTGCTTGTAATAGTCTTTATACATGCTTTAACTGGACTTCGTCCATATTTAAAGTCCTGCTCCTTGGGCTGGAGTTCCTGTGATCTTCAGAAGATGTGTGACAGCACTTGACCACAATTTCCAAAGGAATTACATAGCCTTTGGGAAAGACAACGGAGATCTACGTATGATGTTTGCCTTCATCCTTGTGATGGGCAATAATAATTTGGTGGACCCTAGTAAGCAGAAGGTTTGTCCAGAAAGGAACTGTAATCTTTTTCTTTCGTTGTGGTAGTCCTAAATCGTGTAAGACTGCAGCTCCTGTGCAGGATGTGTAGTACTGCTTACAGGGTAATTCTGTTTTATTATAAGATTATATGTAAAGCTAACCTTGGTGCTATGTAACATCAGTGAAGATTGCTTTTTCTTAGTCTCTCTCTTTCTTAGCTTTACACTCTAGAAAGACCAAACAGTACATTTTCTTGAGTACCATTCTAGAATTCCCTATCTTTAAAAAAAAAAAAAAAAAAAAAAAAAAAAAAAGTTTAGACTGGGATTTCTTTATCTCTGAGGAGCCTGTGGGGTAATTAACTGACTACTGACTAAATTAACTGACTAATTTTTGGAAGAGCTCAAAGTGTGTTCATAGTTGCATCAGAGAACCCAGTATAACTCGAGCAGTTCTTATTATTTTAAACAGTCATGTAATTCTGCTCCTGTGTATAAACGTACATGCTATTTGTATGCTAATCCTTAACCTGAAGTCTTTATTTGCATGCTTATATTTGTTAATCTTTTTTGTAGAAAGTATTGTTTAGAAAGTACAGCTTTTATACAATATATTGTTTTGGGAAACACTGAAATGTAAATGATGTGCTAGATAAAATATGAATTTCCTTACTGACCATATTCCTGTTTTCTGTTAGTGGTTAAAGTACCGCAGAAGACTCTTCTAATGGATGCACTGAAAGAAGAATCTGAAATCGTTTATGATTTCTGCATGTGCAACCCTCCCTTTTTTGCCAACCAATTGGAAGCAAAGGTAAGCTAACAAACTAAATGTTGCGTGTACTTCAGTATTCAGTGGGTGGGAAGGTAGCAACAATTTAATCTCTTCCCTTGAGGAAGGTTGAGTGGAAAATCCCAGATCATTATGAAAGAGCATTTGAGTCTTCTCTCTCCCCGCGCCAAAGAAGTTTTGAAAAAGTTAACTCTTACCCTGACCCGTAGAATTTTTTTCACAAGTTCTTACTGGCTTAGAGAATTAGTTTGGAAAGTAAACGGCTAGTAAATCTGAAATCAAGTGCCCGTTGCGTAACAGTGGTACAGAGGAATTAGTTTATGGCATTGTACCTGTCTGTATTTTTTGTTTCTGTACTGATTTAGGCAATATCATACAGCTCAGAACAGTTCTTGCAATACCCACTGAATATAGTCAGAAACTTAAGTCCATGATATAGGGCAGTAGAAAAAAGATTTAAGTGTTGAAATTAAACACTATAGATTGTAATTGGGTAGATGCATGTAACCAGCATGTCTTAGCATGTATTTCACATTAGCTGGATACTGATGCGT